GGCTGCCTCCCGTGCAACCCCAACCAGGGCCGGGGATTGAACTGCAACTGAGATACATGCCCTTGACCTGAATCAAACCTGCAACTCTTGGGCCCATGGGGCGAAGCTCTAACCACTGAGAAAAATGAACCAGGGTCCTTACCCTGCTTTTTTTTTTCTTTTTATCCTCACCCGAGGACAATTTTTTTGTTCAGGTAGAGTAGGAGGGAGAGAGAGAGAGAGAGAGAGAGAGAGAGAGAGAGAGAGATAGAGAGAGAGAGAAACATCGATGTGAAAGGGACACATCGAGTGGCTGCCACCCACACGACCGACCAGGGCCGGGGACAAACTGCAACCAAGGTACATGCCCTTAGCGGGAGCTGAACCCGGGTCTCTCAGGACCGCAGGCTGATGCTCTAACCACTGAGCCACACTGGCCAGGGCCTTACCCTGCTTTTAATTTATCACCAAGTTCTGGTGATTTTATCACCAATAGATTTTTTGGTTTTGGTCTCTTTGTTTCACCTTTGTTACTGGGTCTCCTCATTTCAACGATTGCTCCTCTCCAAACTATTCTCCACCAGCAGCAAAAGTGGCCTTAAAATGCAAATGGAATCATGTCAACACTGCTTAAAATCCTCCTGTAGCTTCCTATACAATGAAATTAAAAGCCACACTGTGTACCAGAGCCTATAGTTTCTGCATCCTACGGCCACTGTTTATGTCTCCACAAATTCTTTGTTCCTATCTCACCATCTTGAAGTCACATCAGTCATCATTAAGTTCTTTGAATATGCGAAGTCTATTCCCACCTTATGGTCTCAGCATAAGATCTCTTCTCTGGAATGTTCTTCTCCCCACTTGCCATGTTGCTCATTCCCTCCATCCTTTCAGGCCTCAGTCTTAAAAACTACCTCCACACAAACACCAGCTCTTGCCAAGCTACCTACAGTTAAGTTCCCCCATTTTTAATCTTGATTTTACTCCCTTTTTTGTACCTTCTATGACATAAATTGCCATATCAAGTCATATTGTTCATATAGTTACTTATATTTTGGGGGGATGGTCTGCATCTTCCCCTAAAATATGTATTTCAAAAGAACAGGTACTGTCACTGACTTCTCCTTCATTGTTCCCTTAACAAAACCTAGTAGCAAATGAAAGACATTCAATAATGTTTGAGTGACTGAAGGGGAGTTGATTACAGAATAAAATTTTTATCGATGGGACATTTAAAACAGAAATTTGTGAGAATTAACATCATGTTATTTTTTTAAATTTTTTGTAAGTCATAATATTTTATTTATTTATTCATTAATTTATTTTTGTAACAGATGGTTCTCCTTTTTCCCCCATTGATACCCTTTTCCCGATCCTGCTCCCCACCCCCCAAGATAGTCGTCTATGTCCATTTGTTACACATACATGCACATAAGTTCTATGGTCTATCTCTTCCCTCCCGCCAAGCCCCTCTCCTGAAGTTTGTCAGTCTCTACCCCACATCCATGTCTCTGGGTCCATTCTGTTCATCAGTTTGCTTTATTCATTATGTTCATAAGGGAGATCATGTGTCTTTATCTGGTTTTGGAATTAAAATTATGCTGGTCTCATAAAACGAGTCTGGAAGTCTTCTTTCTTCTTGGATTTTGGAGTAGTTTGAGGAGAATCGGTTTAGATATTGTCTGAATGTTTGGTAAAACTCCCCCATGAAGCTGTCTGGGTCTGGGCTTTTGTTTGCTGGGAGTTTCTTGATTATATCTTCAATACCTTTAATTGTTATTGGTCTGTTGAAGTTTTCTATCTCTTCCGGGTTCAGTTTTGGGAGAGTTTGTGTTTCTAGAAATTTGTCCATTTCACCTAGATTGTCCAATTTGTTGATGTATAATTGTTCATAATATTTTTTAACGATCCTTTGTATTTCTGTGATGTCAGTTGATACTTCTCCTCTTTTTTTTCTGATTTTGTTTTTTGAGTCCTTTCTCTTTGTTTCTTGGTGAGTCTGGCTAAAGGTTCATCAATCTTTATCTTTTCAAAGAGCCAGCTCTTTGTTTCAATGATCTTTTGAATTGTGTTTTTGGTCTCTGTGTTGTTTATTTACACTCTGACCTTTACTATTTCTTTCCTTTTCTTTTTGTTTACTTTCTAGTTCTAGTTGTAGGGTTAGATAGTCCATTAGAAATGTTTCTTGTTTCTTGAGGTAGGCCTGTAGTGCTATGAACTTCCCTCTCAGGATTGCTTTTGCATAGATTTGTGTCCCATAGATTTTCTGTTGCTGTGTGTTTATTTTCATTGATTTCCAGGAAGTTTTTTTTTTATTTCTTCCTTGTTCTTGGTAACCCATTCATTGTTTAATAGCATGCTATTTAGCCTCCAAGTGTTTGAATGTTTTTGTTGCAATTAATTTCTAGTTTCATGCCATTGTGATCTGAGAAGATGCTTGATATGATTTCGATCTTCTTGAACTTGTAGAGACTTAGTTTGTGTCCTAACATGTGGTCTATCTTTGAGAATGTTTCATGTGTACTTGAGAAGAATGTGAATTCTGCAGTTTTGGTGTGTAATTCTCTGTAAAGATTTATTAAACCCATTTGCTCTAGTGCATTGTTTAGAGTCTCTATTTCCTTGTAAATTTTTTGTTTAGAGGATCTATTCAGTGATATCAGCGGGGTATTGAATCCCCTGCTATAATTGTCTTGCTATGAAAAACATAAGGAACAATTTTAAGCAAATTTATAAATATGGAATTCATGAATAATGAAGATAGACCATCTGTGTGTGAGTAGGGGAGGAAGCTACTTTATCATCATTCTTAAAAATAAAGAAAAGCGAAACATTAAATAAACTTATGTTCACGTAAAGCTCAACACATTTTCCTTATGTTTTTCATTTGGCCATGAACTCCATGAAAGTTTCATCCTGTAAGAATGAAGGAAGCGTTGTCCTGGGTAAGGATAAGTAGCAATTCATTCTCTCACTAGATTTATCCAAATGTAACAAAAAATTATTTTGGCAATGTTCATGGTAAATAATGACAAACATATACTGATTTAAAATTTTTTTCCTTTATTGACTTGAGAGAGAGAGAGAGAGAGAGAAACATAGATGAGAGAGAACATTGATTGGCCACCTCCTGCATGCTCCCCACTGGGGATCAGGCCCAAACTCGGGCATGTGTCCTGACCAGGAATCGAACTGGTGACCTCTTGGTGCATGGGTTGATGCTCAACCACTGAGCCATACTAGCCAGACCAAACATATACTGATTTTAAGAGATTATCATGTTCTAAAAGTATGAAATGATACTGACTGGTAGTCCTAAAATCCAGAAACTTCCTCCACCATATCTGGTCCTTGCCTTTGTCATAAAAATGACCATATCACTTGACTGTGTGAATACACCAAACAGAGATCTTTTTGTGCAATATCATGGTGCAGGCTTTGATTGTTACATTTTTTTCTTATTACAAAAAAAAAAATAACGTTTGCTATCGAGAAGTTTAAGTTTAAAGCTAAGAAAAAAGTTTAAATAATCAATCAACACCCCTTTCTAGCATGCAAGGATTGTCACTTAATTTTTCAGTGCATATCTCTTTAATCATTTTTCTAAAGCTTACACATGCTGGGTATTCTTCCTCTTTTAATCATATATCACTAAGTCTGTCTATGGTAGATGGCACTTTTGTAACATTTCCCTTTGCTCTGCATAATTCTTTGAGGATGTCATATTGTCTTCACTTTTCCATGTGTGGTTGGGGGCAGGACACTTCCTTGTCTTCAACTTTCCATTGCAGTTTTCTGGTCTGATCTGACTGTCCACTGCCAGGGTGGGGTGTTGGAGCACTGACACAGAGGAATCAATCTGGACTATCATTTTCAGATGGACTCCTAAAAAAATCAGTGTCATGTTTAAGAGAAAAATGATATATAGTTTTTCTTTAGAACTAGAGCTCTGAGAGTCAATTTGTTTCTTTGACTTGTACTTGTTTTTAGTTTGCTTCTTCATGATGATGGGTCTGGAACCCCAGCTTGTGTGCATACCTCTGAAGAGCTGAAAAGATGATTAGCACTAGAGAGTTGAGACTAATAATCTGTTCTCAGAAACCAGGGCCGAACACCAACAAGCTATCATGAGAAGACTTCAAGAAAAGTAAGTAAAATATTAATGCAATTCATGATCTAGATGATTGAACACTTTGTTATCTCAGACTATGAAATTCATTTAGAGAAGGCATATAATACTCATATGAGTTAGAGTATTTTTCATATATCTAACTAGATCTGTTCTGCTCTAATACATTTTGAGAAAGTATGAGGAAGACAAGCCTGCAGTTTTATATTCTATTAGTCTCTTCAGCCTCTACAGGGATAATTTTATAGAAGTCAATTACAGAGCCAGAATTAAGCTCTTGAGTGATTTGATGATATTAGATTCAGGTAAGTCTCATTTAGATGTATCAAATAAGAATGTATACACTGAAATGCATTCTTGGAGTTTGCTAGAGACACTGATTACACATCAGGAATACATTTAAACTAGTTCATGAAATTCTTGTTAAAGCAGTGGTCTAAGAGTTTACATGATAAAAAATAAATAAATGATGATTAGCACACATCACATTTAAATACAGAGCATCTCCCCTAAAAGCCCTTATGTTATATTGTATGGACATGCTGCCTTGATGAAATAGTGCATTAGTTTGCCCTTAATCATGATGTTTCACTCAATATAACATAGAGGACTGTTTATTCTTGTGATGCTCACCAATTCGAGCCCACGTGACCCAATTTATTTATGTTTCATCTACTTTTACTTCTGGCAATGGCTATTCACCATCTTGCAAAATGTGAAAGGGTGGATTAAATCACCGTTGATACTATGATATGATTTAATTTGATAAACTTATTTAACTTGATAAATTTAATACTCACATGGAGTAGTAGATTCAGACACTATTTTGGTTACTTTACATAATGAAAATTGAAGTTCGGAAGGATTCAATGACCTATTCAAGACTTCATAGAGGAGGAACGGCCCACGATCGCGGCCTGACGGGGTGGTGAGAAGCAGACCAGCAGTTTGCGGCAAGACCACGGAGGGCGGTGGGGGAAGCGGCAAAAAAACCACGGGGGGAGGCGGGGGTTGGCCGGCTTTTTTGGCCGGTGGAGCTGGTTACTCGCACGCGGATTTGGCCAGCGTCCCGCTGACAGGTATGAATCCTCTGTCTCCTTATTTAAATATAGGTCCACGGTATCTCGTGCAGGATACAGATGAGTTTATTTTACCAACTGGAGCTAATAAAACCCGGGGCAGATTTGAACTCGCCTTCTTTACCATTGGAGGATGTTGTATGCCAGGGGCGGCTGCATTTGGGGCAATGAACGGTCTACGGCTAGGATTGGAAGAAACCCAGAACATGGCCTGGTCCAAACCAAGAAACGTACTGATTTTGAACATGGTGACCAAGCAAGGGGCACTTTGGGCTAATAATACTCTAGGTTCTCTGGCTTTGCTTTATAGTGCAGTTGGTGTCATCATTGAGAAAACACGAGGTGCAGAAGATGACCTCAATACAGTAGCAGCAGGAACTACGACGGGCATGTGGTCTTCGAGGGGTAGCACGAGGTGGTCTAACAGGACTAACACTTACCAGCCTCTGTGCACTATACAGCAACTGGGAGCACATGGAAGGCTCCTTGCTCTGAAGGCTCCTTGCTCAGTCACTCTGAAGATTTTGCCAGCTTGTGAATAGAGGACACTTTAGTAGTTATCCAGATCAATTTATGAGTTAGTCTGGAGTTCTCTCTCATACCTAAAATTAGTTTGAAAAATTGTGCAGATTCTGATTTGCTGTGATAAAGATGGTTGACCAGACTGGCTCTCCTTCCAGCCATCAGTGAGTTGAAGCCAAAACCTTTCGGTGGCTGAGTAATATGGCTCTCTCTGAAGATCTTGCACCTGTTCTGTTACCCCCCGAACTGGAAAACCACTTACTCCCATCATTCAGGTCACTCTTGTTGTCAATACTGTATCACCAAGTTTTTTCATTTAATGATCCAAAACTATAATATTGCCCTGTATTCCCAATAAAGGGTGAAAAAATAAAAATTTAAAACAATATTTCATAACTAGTTTTAAATTCAGATCATATTACTTTTATGTTAGTGTTTTTCTCTGTATATATTTCAATTTCTTTTTGTGCTTAAGAAACTAATGAAAAGAAAAGATTAAATTCTAAAAAAACAGATTAGTAAAGAAAAATAAAATCCGGAATATCCGTTACTGAAATGTTTTTCACATAAAAATAATTTTAAATATGCTGTAAAATGATGAATTCTGATTAAAATATAGAAACATCCAGTTCATTATCAAGGTGATGCACTAATAATGGAGTTTGGAACTAGTTAAGGTAGTGATAGAAAGTTCTGAATAAAAAGACACATATTTTTCTGGTTACATTAACACTTTTATTTTTTTTTATTTTTATTTTTATTTTTATCCTCACCTGAGGATATTTTTCCATTTTTTGTACAGATAGAGTAGGAGGGAGAGAAAGGAAGGGAGAGAGAGAGAGAAACATCGACGTGAAGGGACACATCGAGTGGCTGCCACCCGCACGACCAACCAGGGCTGGGGACAAACTGCAACCGAGGTACATGCCCTTAGCAGGAACTGAACCCGGGTCTCTCCGGACCGCAGGCCGACGCTCTAACCGCTGAGCCAAACTGGCCAGGGCTACATTAACACTTTTAAATCCTTCTGACACTTCAGTTATCTGAAAGGATGCTGCTAGATTCTCAGCAAAAACATTACAACCAATTTTATTTTAATTTACTGCAATCTTTCAAAGTACACCCATACACACGTCTTATTGCACATCTGTAGCAAGTGTTACAAACTCAAAACAGCGATATATTTTCATCGCTCCAGGTAGGTTAAGAAGTACAACTTAATATGTTAATATGATGCATGGATGCTCACCCTGCCCCACTTCAGCACAGTCCCCTGGTCAGAGCTCTTATCTTGTAAGGCAATGCTGGAAGACCTACTTGCTCCTTCTCTGAAGATGTAAATTGTTCCTTCCCAGTCATACTCCTTCCTAGAGAACCAGCCCCTAAACCCTGCCTGCTCTCTACCCTGTGATCTTAACGCCCACCCAGGGCCATTGCTAATGGAAGCTGAGTCAATCAGATTCAATTAAGAGTCTGAATGATATAGAATCTAAATCGGTCTGGCATACTAGTTTGAAAAAAAGATTATGTGGAGCTGGGGAAGCCATTTTCATTTCTCTACCATCTAAGCACTGCGGCAAAGAAAGCTGGACAGCAGTGAGAAGCAGGAGAGGAAAGCAAAGATCACGTATCACTTTGACCAGACCCCTGGAGAGAGGGACTTTTTGACTGCAGTTCCCCGTTGAGACTTCCCACTCTGGTGTTCCCTTTGATTCAGTAAGATATTTCTGTATTACTTGGGTAAGGAATGCATAAGCCTGCTTAAATGAACCTCTATTTGTTCCAATCAAATGCTCCCAATGATGACAACCATGACCTGGTCCAAAAGCAGTAGCAACTCTGAGCCAAGGGAAATCACCTGACAGCCTGGCTGCCTCAGTCAGGGTTTTAATTGAATTCAGTCCAGGCACCTCTCCCTGCTGGGAGAAAACCACACAGTTCACTCAGAGTGGTATCCTTTCAGCAGGGCTTGAAAGGCAACACTGCTGTGTGTCTTACTCTGTCTTGTAAAATTACAGAATTTTCAACCTGGAAAAAATGCCTTAGTGATCAAATTCGGCATCTTTGGTAAATGAGAAAACTGAGAAGCAGAGAGGTTAATTCCCTAATTCAGTGGTTGGGAAATTCCTGGCCCAAATTTTTTCACCTGTCCTCTCTCCGTAGCACTAATCTATTGACAGAGAGGTCTTTTAAGTTTCCCCCCCCCCCCGTTAAAAATTGAAAGGTCCTGCTGCCCATAAAACCTCCAGCTAACTTTGTGTATCCAAATGGAATCATATTGAGCTCCACAAAACCAAAATCCAGAGATAACAGAGGCTTAAACATACAGAGATATATTGCATTTTATCTGACACAAAATCAGTTTGGAGGTATACAGTCTAAATGAATGTGGTGGCTCCATGGTCCTCAGGGACCCACCTTCCATCTCTGTTTCTGCCTTTCCATTCTTAGTATCTGATGTCCCTCTTCAAGGTCACCTCGGTAGTCCAATAGTATGTAAGGAGCTCTAACCATCAAATCTGAATTCCATAGGGTAGACCCAGAAACATGTAAGTCGGGTACAGAAGAGGGGGTGGGGGTGGGGGAGGAGATAAACCACAGAACTTATATGCATGTATGCATGACCAATGGACATGGACAACAAAGCCGGGGATGGGGTGGGGTGGGGGGGTGGGGAGAAGGGTGTCAAAGGGATAAAAAAGGAGAAACATCTGTAACAAAAATAAAATTAAAAAAATCTGAATTCCAGGAAGCAGGGTGTAGAAAAGGGGAAGGGGCCAAGTGGCACACCTCAGCTATCTGTCTTCTCCATCTAATAGCTTTTGCTTACAGCTTATTGGTCATAGCTCAGTTAAATGGCCACTTTAGCATCAAGGGAAGCTGATAAATGCATTATTTTAGCTGGGAACATTGCCACCTGGGTAAAATGGAAGGTTTCTTACAAAGAAGGAAAGAATAAATGGATGTTGGAAAAGCAACTAGAAATCTATGCCACACCTTTCTAGAATTTTTGTCACCAATTTTTCCTCAAAGGATATCTTTAGTGAATATCTGAGAATATTCCCATAATTAGCTGGGTTCCTAAAACTGTAAGGGTCCTTCCAGAGTTCTCTCCTTTTGATGTGGGAGTCCCCCACTGTTGTCTGAACTTCTGTCTCATACTGGTCTCCAGAAGTCTGTTCAAAACATGTTCATTCTAAAAGCAGTGCTCTTGACCATGCCTTCTCTTCAAGTCCTCACTAGGGCAAATAAAAAATGTACCCAGTCCCAAGCACATTCAAGTGCATATGGAAATACCCACTACACAATCCTAAGTCTAACAGATCATTCCTGGGACTCGGAAAAACCTTGTACTACTTTTGTGACATAAAGTAGACTAATGATCAATTCCAAGAGATAATTTATAATCCTGTCCTGAACAAATTAGATTTAATGCATAGAATTCTATGTGGAATAAATGCCCTCTTTGGCCTCACATTAACGCTTCCTTAGGTAACATGTAAAGACCCATTTAACTCTTCCTGAGTGACTTTGCCTCTGTGTGGCAGGAAAACAAACTCAACTTTGGTTTTACTCTGGTGGTCTTCGTGTTATTCTTCGACCTCACCTTTCTCCATTTCATTGTGACATTCAAGACTGGTATATAGGTCCTGCTTCTACCTTCTTTGAACTTATTTTCTTTCTTTGATTTTTTTAAACATCATTAAATTTTTATTTTTTTCAATTACAATTTACATTCAAAATAATTTTGTGTTGTGACTTTTATTTTTTTAATTAATTAATTTTTGTTACAGATGTTTCTCCTTTATCCCCCCAGACACCCTCCTCCCAATCCTGCCCCCCTACCTCACCCCAGCATCGTTGTCTATGTCCATTGGTTATGCATACGTGCATATAAGTTCTTTGGTTTGTCTCATCCCTACCCTCCGCACCCTCCTCTGAAGTTTGTCAGTCTGAACCGTACTCCTTTCTATATCTCTGGGTCTATTTGTACTTATTTTCAACTCACGGAAATATGGTTTCTGCTTCTCCCAAACAAACAAAAATATACCCCTAACTGACAAAGCCAGTGCTTATTTTTACTTTGAATTTTGGGTGATCTCCCTTGTGGAATTTCTGTCTTGAAATTTCCCTCAATTCTGGTTTCTTCAACACTATTTCATCATTATTTTCCTTCTAACTCTGATTTATTTTTCTTAGTCCTTTTTAATCCCTCTGGTTTCTTCACCTAAACAGATCTCTTAAACATTATTTTTCCTCAAGGCCTCTGGATTAGTCAGTATTTGCTGTATAACAATCCACCCAAAGCTCAATAGTATAGAACAATGATTTATTCTACTATCATGTCTGTCAGTTGGCTGAAGTTCAGGTTTTCTAGACAATTCACTGGGCTTGCTTCCAAAGACAGGTTGGCTCCAGGTCTACTCCACAGGTCTCTCATCCTCTTTTGACTGATAAATAGCCTGGCAGAGGCATAATCTTTCCATGGTGGTGGTAAACGTATAAGAGAGAAAGCCCAACAACGTATGCACATTTCAAACTTCTGCTAACATTAAATTTGCTGACATCTCACCTCCCAGAAAAAATTTACATGGTCAAGCACCAAATCAAGGGACAAAGAACTATACGTGGTTATCATGAAGTCATTATAAGGGATGGCTGCATAATGCCATCATAATAGGTGAGTACAGAATTGTCACCAGTAATTTAATCTATTAAATAGTTCTTAGTGCCAGGATGACTCTGTATGATCTGGTCTTAGCTATCTCTATAGTCTTATTTTTTGATACCTTTCCTCTTCATGGCAAAGTTTCAGACACAAAGCTTGCATTTCACCACACTTATATTGCTTGGTCTACACAATCTTCAGGCCTTAGTATAAATGTCACTCTCCCAAGAACTCCAGATTAAGTCAGATTCCCTTGTTATATCTTCTTAAATATTGTTGCTAACATTTTCCTTTGTTCCATTTA